GTTTATTAAACTAAAAATTTTATAAGGATGTGTAAAATAAACATATTTTGTTTTAAAATTGAATATAATTTTCTGTATGATAGATAAAATATTGATTACTGATTATATGCTATTCTATATTTTTTTCGCGCGCGATTCCATATATTTTTACCAATCATCATTTAATAATCAAATATCTTTCATGTTAATGTGTAATTATTCAAATTATGTATTATATTACATATTATTTATTATATATATTGCAAAAACAATTCTATATATATAAAAGTTTATATATAATACTAATTTGCAATCTTTAAATAATACACATTGATATTTTTATTTTATTGTACAATTTTATCTTGTTTTTTCATCAATTCTAGATATATTATAAAATGTAAGATTTATATTTCTTAAGATTAAAATTTTTTCGTTCATTTATTTTTTAAAATCTAATCTCTAACGATGAGACGTTTTATTTTTATACAATGTAATGATTATGCAATTATAGGTATATATGTATGTTCTCAATATATGTACATAAAGAAATTGTTTTTATAGTAAATAACTTATAAACAATATTTTCAGAAAAATAAAAGTTATTTTGTAGAAAAAGCCATTATTATACATAAAAGAAATACATGTGTAATATTTCCAGTTTTAATAATTCATAAACACACATTCCCATCATACATATTTTAAAATGTAAATTTTAATTAAATTAATGGTTTATGAAATACACATATTTACAATCTTTGGGACTCAAATCGATATGAATCATTTTACATATATATTTCAATATTATAATAAAATATGCACAAATTGCTCTTTAATTGTCAACATAATGTTATATATAAAGAGTAACTTGTGTGCACAATTATATATTATATATATGTAATGCTGCAAAATTATATTCCCATGAAAGATAACGTGATAATTCAATGTATCTTTTATAATGCATTATAAAAATTATGGCAACAATATTTGCACTATTATTATAATGACGTGATAATGTATGTCATGTCCAAATTCCAATGTTTACTATATACATATTTCTTCAGATAAAGATTTTAAAGATGGTTTTTCTTTTTTTTTAATATGAATGGAACTATTTTTTGTGCCCCACACAAGCAAATATAATGTAATCTCAAAATATTAATTCTTAAAAAAGTATAACATTAAGAAAAATATTCAAAAATATTCTTTTAAAATGTTGGGATTTAGTATAAGGAATTTATATATAGTATATGTACATGTGCAAACAATCATAAAGTTAATTTAGTATTTTGAATTAAAATTTATGATTGTATAATATGTGTATATGAACACAAAAGAGATACATTTGTATGAAATTAACTAAATTAAATGTTATATTTTTTTTACTATGAAAACTCAAATGCCATTATCTTAAATCGAAATTTGTTATCTAATGTTAATATTGACTAATATAAATCATGATGTATTTGATAATATTATCCTGAATTAGAGCTGGAAGAAGATCGGAGACGACGCTTTCTTTTCTTTGATCTCGACTTCTTTTCATTTTCAGACTTTTTATACTTCGATTCTTTGCGCGAATGTTTTTCTTTATAATCGGAATTATTACGATCGGAATGTTTCGTCGGATACGTGTCATTTTTCGATGAAATGGACATTGTTAAGATTGTACTCGCATTGGATTGCGATAAATTAAATATTCTGGATTTATGACGTTCCTTGTCTTTATGTTTGTCTTTGTGTTTTGATTTTCTCCAACGCGAATAGGATCTATTAGAATGATTACTACACTGACTATTCGATCTTAAATGATCATCTTCTGAATCAGAAGATTCAAAATAATACGTTTTCTTTTTTGATTTAGATTTATGTTCATTTCTTGGCATATCTTTATTATTTATTGAGGCACTATCTTCTTGATTTCCATACTCGCTCGTGTTTCGAGATTCTCGGTGCCTATAACTTGACCGTTTATCTCGTTTAGAAGCATTAGAAGATTCACTGCTACTTCTAGATCTAGATTGTCTGCTTTCATTACACTTTTGATCTTTGTTCTTAAACTTCAACTTTTCTGAAGTTGAAGTTCTTTCTTTGTTTCTCGTTGTTCTTCCACTTTTTGTTGCATGATCGTGTACATTGGGGGAACGATTCCTTTTCGATTTATGTTGTCTATGACATTTAGTGATTTTCGTCTTACTATCAGTTTCTACACTACTATCACTACTAGATGAATCTTCATCTGAGTAACTTTCCTCTTTTTTAATAAGCTTTATTCGGCCTGTACCTTTAGCCTGTACTCTATACGTTGTTTTTCTCGATCGTTTTTCATTACGTTTCATTACATTCTTTAAACTTTCAGATGAGCTGGAATCAGAATTGAATATTTTTTTTTTGCATCGTTTATTACGATTTTCTGTCCCATATGATCTTTTATACTTTACGACTGTCCTTTTTCCTGATTTGCTGCCATGATTTCGTTTACTTTGTTTTGGATTATCGTCGGAATTAGAATCACTACTTGTCGAAGATGACGAAGACAATCCTTTTGCAGTGTGAGATGTACTCGGTAGTGTCAAATTTTCCGGACATATTTTTCTTGAATTTGATCTAATAATAAAACAATGTATGTGATTAGATTTATAGATATATATCATATTCTATGGCCGGAATTCATAGTCCGATCTTATATTTAAGATTGTCTTAAGCTCTCATTCCACCAATCAATGCTGCATTGTAGCTATTTGATTAGTTGAATGAGTTTTTAAAATGATCTTAAATGTAAGACCGGACTATGAATACCGGCCTATAATCTTATGTATTATTATATTCTACTAATATAAATGTGCTAACAATTTTTAAAGATATTTTATGATCATATCAATTATAATTGAATAATTGAATAAGATAAACACTATATAGCACTTGTTTAATAAATAGTTCTTTTGTAACTCACTGTGTATTTTCATTAGATACATGAGAAACATGATCAGAATCAGAAGAAAGTAATTCTATGATTTCTGGTGTTCTTTCATGACGTGGTTTCACATAGCCAATAATTTCACATTCGCCATCTGATTCAGAGGAACTCGAGGAAACGATTAAAAGTTCTGGTACATTGTAAGGTGTTTCCATTCTGTGAAATACTTGCCCTACTACTGTACTAGGACCTAAATAAATATACATAATTATATATTATATTTTATCACTAGATATTATATATGTTATTATTTATGAAAAGCTTGAAATAACATATTAAATAACATGTTAAATGATGGATATTTTAACTTATATTATGAGCCTAAGATTAGATTTTCACAATTTTTGCAAAATTAAATAAAAGAAAATAGTAAATTTTTCATTAACAATGTATAATTGTCATATGATTTTTGTGTTCCTTGATATTGGACATTTATACTTTGTGAATGTAGCCCATATTTTTCTATTCTATTTTTTTTTCTCTATTTTGATAAATGTAATTATAGAAAATGTGTACATAATTTACTAATTTTTTTTACCTGGCATGTTGATAGAGTGTGATATTGTGTTTGGCATTTCGGTATTTCGGTATACTCTTAAATCAATCGCTTCATCGAGTATTCGTACGTCTGAATTATCAGAAGCAATACTGCTGCTGCTGCTAGGGCTACTAGGTGTAGGTGAAAAAATACGAGTTGCATATTCATTTGACAAACCTGCAACAAGTATATATATTATATATGTTATATTTGTAATTATATGTCATTTTTAATCGTAAAATTCATATAAATACAAACCACGTGGTAAGTAAGTAACAGATTGATCATATCCAACTAAATCAAAGTTAGTTTGGGCAAAATTCAATAATTCGTGCGCAAAATGATCTGTATGCGCAGCAAGGAAAGGTTGTATAATATTGCGAAATTCAGGACTTCTAATATCAAATCGCGTTAAGGCATTCATTATTATGTTCAATGCATATGCAATAATGCCTGGTTCATTATTGAGTAAAACTTGTAATTCTCTGTTTATCCATGGTATAAGGCGATCTAATTCTTGTGGTTGTCTTCTACGATATATAATTAATAAATTAATTGAAATATATATGTTATGCATTTTTTATAGAAAATACTTTTTTTAGTTTTATAAAGTTGGAGATTTAGAGGATAAAACAATAAGAATAAATTTAAAACTATAAGAAATATTTACCTGTAATATTCGGCACTACATTCGCGAAAACGTCCAAATATGTCAGGTAATGAAGTAGCCCATATACCATGTCTATAAACGGTACGACGATAATCTGTAGGATTAGCGCGTCTACGTCTGCGCTCTTCTCTAGGCACTTGAGGTGCCATACTCGGCAATTGTTCACGTCTTGCAACTTGTTCTGGATTTAATAGTACACCATGTCGACGGTTGCCAGTCATCGTCGTCCTAAGAAAGATTATATAGAATTATTTTATAAATATCTGTCTGATAAATTATAAAATACATTTATTTTCTCCTTATATACCTGTAAAAAAATCGACTCAATCGAGGAAACGCAATATCACTCCAATTGTCATCAATGTCAAAGTTGAAATTCAAAGGAACTTGTGGTTGAGAAATTTGAGATAATTCGCGAGGTATGTGATATTGAGCATAATCCTCCTCCGATCTCACACTGTGTATAATCGATTTGAATGTTTGCTTGCATAGAGGACATTCTGTTTTTATTTTGGACCACTCGAGCAAACAATTGAAACAGAATTGATGCAAGCAACTGTCCGTAAATGAGGTGTTAACTAATTTTCCTAAGCAAATGCTGCAATTTGGGGGTGGAGAGGTAGCGCCATCGCTTCGTTCGCTATTATCAGGATTTTGTACTGGAGCTTCAGATTTTATAGGCTCTTCCTGTCCAGTGTCTGCGCTAGAGTTTTTTATTTCTAGTGGGCCTTCCATTGCTATCTATTATAAATATCCATTCGTAAAGAAATTTCTGCAAAATAAAAAAAGATATATAAATATATAACAGTAATTTTCTTTGTTTAAAAATGGAATAAAAAAGAATTTTATATATATATAATTTTTTTTGTTATAGTAATTGTATGATTTACATATATTTGTAAAGTTGTAAAATTTAGTCTATAAATAAATAATGTAATTATCTATATAAAATTCATCATATAAAATAATGATATAAAGTTGACTGGAATTATATAAAAAAATATTACACGTCGAAAATATACACAGTACATATTGAAATTTCCGAAATTATGAAAATATATGAAATAACGTTATGTGATGCGACGTAAGATATAATTTAGTATTATAATGCATAATAATTAAATAATAAATATGATGTGTCATATAAGCAAGATATAATTTCAGCTACCGGAAACAATCAATCGGTAAAGCTTACGTCATTTAACATTCGATTACTATAGCACAATGATTGTAGCAAAATTAAATATAAAAAAATTGTCTCTATGAAACTATCGAAAATATCTGATTCGCGTCAATTTGCGCATATCATATACGTATGTATGTCCCGTTGCTTTATATTTCTTCCGCGGATATGTATCGTCGTATTATATTACGCGTGAAAGAGGAGAAATTATTGGAGACGGACATCCGCGGTGCATGTCCATTATTGCGTCTCATAAGAAGGTTTCTCACTTTATAGCGTAAAGATCGATGAGACGAAAAGCGACTCCCACAATTCCGATAGAATATCGCAAGATTCATTAAAAATTATGAACGTGAAACAATCAATCGAGATTCTAGCGCGATAAATAATACAATTATACGAAGAGAATGTCGTAGAGGAGGAGAAGGAAGGACATAATAAGTGTCTTTACTGACTACTTGGCGTATTTTCGATAGTTTTTCACGAGTCGCAATATTTTTAACTTTTCCGTACAGATAACGTTGTTCCACGATCTTATGCTTCCTTATCTCCTCCTCCTTTGCCGTCAGACGCACGATACTATTCGCAAATGTGGAGTACACCGTTTGTGATTGATCGTGATGTCTACTTACCTACCCATTTAACGAGAACAAATATGTTCTTTACGGTAGTCCCTCTATTATAGCCCCGGCCATAAGCGATAACCGCGGTCAGTACACTGCGCGTGTAACGCAATGTTCCCAAATCGGAAGAAAAAGTTTTATTCCGAGCACGCTATATTACTGCGCATGCGTGGATTTTGTCTCTCAATCTGGAGTATGGTGGTATCAGTGTTTAGTGACTCATAGGGAGAAATAATTTGACGCGAAGAAGGGAGAGGGGGGGAGGAATCCTCAGATTAAATTTTTAATTGAATCATATAAGAAATTTAGTTACTTTTGTATTCTAAAATAAAATAATTTATATATGTATACACACGCAATATAAAATTAATAAATCTCTAATAAATATATAAATCATTACAATAATAATTTATCGTTCCCTTATTATGCCGCGATTGAGTATTTTAATTATCTAAATGTAAACAGATTTCTTATCATTTTAATCTCAATAATTTATCTTTTTCTTATTATGCTGCGATTGAGTATTTTAACTATCTGAATGTAAAAAGATTTTTTATAGTTGTACCAATGTAGGTAAAAAATCCACCGATTACTCGAAATGGTGACGATGCGTTTTTTTCGATGCTTGACGCAACTGAACTTGTTTCGTGCATCCTGATTGTTGCAAGATCCTAAGGAAAAAATTGGATGTTATTAAAATGTAAATTTCATTGAATGCTATTATTTCTATGAAATTTTTTACTTACATTATCGTTACAGTTATTTGATTTTCTTAAATATTTATATGTAGGTATACATTTTTTGCTTATATTTTTATGTAATTTAATTTTTTTTGCTGGAGAAGCAATATCGCCAGATTTAGGAAACCGATCTCGTTTAAATTTTTTGGTTAAAAAGAATAAGCAAGTATCTTCTTGTGGAATATCGTCATTGGCTTCGTTGTCTTCTTTAAAGTATATAATATTGGAAGAATCCAATGATACCTACAATATAAAAATTGATACTAATTTATTACATTTTGGAAAACAATATTATGTGAAAAAATCTAAATAAATTGGCTTTTTCAAAAAAACATGTCAAGAATTTATATACATAAAAATAATGAAATTCTTACCTGTTCATCTCTTGTGTGTCTTTTCCTTTTAATGGACTTTTTTGGTATATCATCTGATGGAAATTCATTAATATTTTTATGTCTAAGTGGCTTTCTCGAGCTACTTTCCTTTCTCAAGGTCTGTCTACATTCGGTATACTGAAAATGAATTAACATAGCAATATTTTAACAATAGAATTGAACACTAAACGATGTATATTTTTAGCAATGTAACAAATACTTTTTTGATCGCACTTTCAATAGATTGTATCCACTCGTCGCTGTCGCCATTTTCTGAATATAATAAGAATGTTTCATGCAAGCATGTTATACGAAACAATTTTTTGCTTAAAACACAAGTTAAACTGCACTTGTTTAAAGGTAGAACACAAGATACGTTTAATGAAGTTTCTGGCTCGCCTTTACAATATAGTAAAGTGTCATTTAAAAGTACAAAGTATCTCTTGTAAGCAGAATTGCCTCTTCTTGAAACACGCATCAACGGTCCTTGTTTAATTAATACTCTACCAGGTTTAACAAGATTAATCGAAGTAACGATGCTTTTTTGAAGATTTAACAATTTTTGCATTTCTTCATTCTGTGCGATTAAAGTATTTATATGTTTTGCAGATTTTTCAATTTCAACCAAACATGCTACAATAAAAAATATAAAATTAAAACTATTATACATAAAAATGTATATGTATGTTGGCTAATATAAATTCAAATCACCTTGTAAAGATCTATACTCTTTATGTCTATAAGGAGTATGTTGCAACACTTCTTTAACAAGTAATTGATATCTTGGTACTCTTTGCACTGGTGTAATTAACAATGAAGACAATTTTCTGCTTACTTCTGGTCTTGTTTCTTGATTGCAAATAAATTTTTTAAATACAGGATCATTATCTTGACTTGTCTGGAAAGGTAAATTTGTAGGTAAATTTTAACATTAATGTTTTTTTTATATATTTTTCAATAGAAATATTTTATTTAGTTGAAAATATTTGAGATAAATAAATAAATGAATATATATATATATAATTTTTTTGTAATAGATATATGCATAAATACGACCAAATATATATAAACTATAAATTGCATTTGAATAAATTGAAACAATAAATTTTCACAATACTTGATAATTACCTGTAGTAGATTTAACACTTGTGTATAATCATAAGCATAAATAGAATACAGTTTAAAAAAAGGTGCCAGTTTATGAAATACTTCAGTTATATTGTCAGGATTATTTTTTATACCTGTCACTAATTCACCACTCACATTATATAATGTCTTTATGTTTTCCAATAGAGTGACAAGTAATGGATGATTCAATAATTTTCTTTCAATAATAGGTTGTATAAAAAACTAGAGAAACAAAAATTAAGAATAATGTTTTAACAATTTCATAATTAAACATGCATTGAAAGGTACCTCTGTCAATATTTCCAATTGTTGTAAATAGGTAACTTCTGTAGTTAATATCTCTTGAATGGCTTGTGATCTTAGAGTTCTTTCTCTTTCCTCCGCGTACCTTTCACTGTCTTGATTCAAAGCATGTAAAACTGAAAAAAAATTATAATATAAAGTTATAAAAACTGTTATTAAACATGTAAAAGAATATAAATATTTTATACATACCTTTCATTCGGCTTCGCATACTCAGCATATTTCTTTCATTTATAATGTTTCTTAATTCTGAACTGAGACTAGTTTGTGGTGATAATGGTGAATACATAATTGCATTAAAATTTATGTTAAATATATAAAATACCGTCTTTGCAGAGAAATTTTCCTGTATAATAAAAAATATAAATGTAAGTAGAAGTATCATAAACTTGATTCCACTTGATATGAATGATATTTCGATTCGTTTTTCAAAAATTTGAATAAGTATAATTTGTATTGCTGTTACTTTGATTTGTTGCGATAGATATTAGTATATTTCTGTATATATTCGTTAAAATTTTAATTAGAATTTGACAAAATTTCATTTAAACACCTGCTGTTTACATACACGACGTTAACGTTCTGATTGGCTGACGCGGACATGTCACAGCCAATAAATTCTATAGGCATGGTGTAAGTAGAAAGGTGAACCATTGCGCATAAAGGTGTAATTTCATTGACGCTAAAAAGTAGCGTCAATGAAATTGCATCTTAATGGCGGAGGTCTGAGATCTTGACCAATCAGAACTTGAGCTTTTATGCAGCGCGTTATTTGAAAGAAAGATGAAAGATATAGTATATAAGCAGCCATATTGAATTTCGCATAAAAGCTCAAAGTGTAATTGGCTGACTGTCCCTTATTTTAACCTACTGCGCATCTATCGGAATGGTTTACCTTTCTACTTACATCATGCTTTATAGGTATATTGGAGCGAATCTTGATAGAAAATCGGAATAAAATTAAAAAGAGACAGATGTTATTTTAGTTGGATCATTGTCTCTTTTTATTATATCATCTAAACTGAAATATTTTTCCAGATATTTAGCAATAAAGGCGATACAACGAACGTAGATTCCAAAAAAAGTTTTAATTTTATTTATAAATTTAAACAGTAAAACTGGAAATGGCTGTGAATTATTTATTTTTGACTATGATATTATAATTATTAATCAATCAGCAAACCTCTAACAAAGATAGCAATCCATCCAGGTTGTATATATCTTTTTCTACGAATTATCATTTACTTACCTTTTTGAAAACTCGCTCCAATGACGCAAAATACCAATGAATACTTCTTAGGAAAAAAAACAAATAATCACATGACTGTCGTTAAAGTCTCTAGTCTGCTCTAACCAATTGAATCCGCTTTTGTTTGCGCCGAACCAATGGGCGTCGAATCCTTGAGCGTATCTGGTAATTTCTTTTCGTGCAAATCTCGACTTTGCCATTGGCCAACCTGCGCGTATAGAAGATGATTAGTGGATGGTGGATGATGCAATCTAATAGTACGATCTATGTGGTGTACATACATCAAAACATACGACGATGAAGTGACAATTTTGCGAATGTCGTATTTTCTAAACGAATACACAGGACATTTTCGCGATTGAATTTGGATTCATGTCAACGGAAGAAAGATAACAGTGTCGTCGAAATCGCTGACATTTCTTTTTGCAATCCCGTCACAAGGTAATGACATGCCAGATTTGTTCTTGAAAACGTCTGGAGATTCGACAACAGTCGATGTTATCAAGTGTAAAATATCAGCTGTACCGATATTACTATCGATATTTGAAACATAGAATCGCTATATGAATCGCAAAGGAAATATTATTAATGCAATTAATATTCAATTTGGATATTGATGGATTTTATCTTTTTTTTCAATCTAAAAATTACATAACAGTAACATTCACTGTCACTGTTTTGCATATATTTCGCGTGTTTTTATGCGCGATTTATGTTCGTTATATTCATCACGGGTAGAAATAAAAAACAGGTATTATGCAGAAGAATCCTTCGAAAAAGTTATTTTCTATAGATTTTTCTTTATTTTCTCTTTTTTTTTGAGAAATTTAAATGTTGACGCGAAATAGGTTATGCTCTAGTGAATATTACGATATACTTGCAAATTAGATTGAATAAAGTATATTTCTCTTTCAAATTTTGTAATATATAAATTTTAAATTTTTATATTAATTTTTATGGGTCTCCATCTAGTTTATTGATACTGTTAACTATTAAAGATATTTGCATACAATGTTTTCCAGTATATTTAGCATAAATAATTAGCTTTGCATTATACATATTTATTTTTCATTTATATTTATTAAGTAAAAATAATGATTTTTATAAAACTTTGGAATATTTATATAATATATACACATGATAGTAAATCATATTAAAAATTATGAGTGTAATATCTGCAAAAAAATCAGAAGTAGAGAAATTGTATGACTCAGCTAATATTATTAATTTTGCTGTGATATAGAATTCACAAGCTGTTAAAGATTGCTAATTTAATTAAAATTAAATATAGTGACAAGCTTACTTATTAAAAAACGAGCTTAGTTATTTTAAATTGGATTATTATTAGATAACTTATGTAATTTAATATGAGGTGCAATATTATACCTAATATTAATTAAAAAATATTCTTTTGTTTGTATTTATTTAAATTGCACTTTTATATATTTTGTTATAAACTTAAACATGTCTAGATTGATTAAATTATAAATATATATATTAATTAAAAATCTGTTATTTGTTTCAGAATATGATGTCCAGATCAAATTATCGAGAATGATAAATATATAAATATGGCAATTGTGTAAATAATTATTATACACAAATTTTTCCGAATCCTTATTTTTGTGGGAGCTACTTATGTGATATTCAAAAATGTCACAAGGAAATGGTGCTGCTGTTGCAGTACCTAATAATCAAAACGGCGCAGTGGCACACAATCTTCACAGTCTTGCTGGTGTGATAGGACCAGTTTTAAATAATAATAATATGAACATAGCTAGAAATAATAATAATCAAAACCCGTTAATTAATGTGCGGGACCGGTTATTTCATGCATTATTTATTAAAGCAGCACTAGCTTATGCACGAGCATTTCCAAGGCCTGTCAGGAGATTTATAGAATTTATAGTTCTTTTGAAGGTATGTCTTGCAAGAAGTTTATATTATATTAAATTTATCTTTACATAGACAAAATAAATATCACATGCAAGAGTAAAATTTATATTTATTGCATTAAATTTATATATTCATGTCATATAAGATTAATATCATACAAGAATAAAATTTTATGCATATATATATATATATATATATATATATTCTTTTTTCTCTTATATATATATATATATATATATATATATATATATATATAAGATAAAAAAGAAGCAACAAATTAAACAAATATTGATAAAAGATTTCGTTTAATTCTTTTTTACAGGCAATATTGGCATTTTTTGTATTGGCTTATATTCATATAGTATTTTCGCGTGCACCAACTAATTGTTTAGAACATATAAGAGATGAATGGCCACGAGATGGTATATTGAGAGTTGAAATTCTCAGGAATGGTGGTGAAGATTATAGTATAGAGAAAAGTTATGCCAAAGAGGAAAAATTAAGACAGGAAAAAGTTGATGATTTAACTAATGCTTTGGGAATATTAACGAGAGATGGGTAAGCAAAAATAAAAAGAAGTTATACAATAAAAAGATATTAGTGCTTTTTATAATAATATAGTAATTTTAAAATTGTATATATTTACATACATATTACATAATGAAAATATCTATATATCTTTATTAATTTTGTTACCAGATTTATAAATATTGAACCATCAGCTGTTGATGAAGAACGCGACATTATAAATGCATCTGTTGAAGAGAATCATGGGAATTTGACATCACTTGAGCAAGATATGAGACGCGCAACAATTTCTGGAGAGACACAAAATTCTGACCTAACTACAAATACAACGATGAGTCCATCATTATCAACTAAACTTTGGAATGGTTTAAATTCAGCTAAAGAAACAGTATGTATTTCTTAATTGTGTTTTCTTTAATTTGAAGATATTGATAATAAAATAGTCTGATAAGAAATAAGATTTTTTAAATATACTTTTTAAATTGCAAATATTAAAATTTTTGGAATTAATATAAGAGATGATATATTTACATATATTTTTTATTTTTTAGTCATTTGATGGAAAGTCATCTGTTCCAAGATCAGAAGGTAATTCCACAGACGTTCCCGAAGCCAATAATCATTCAAATGAAGATAATGTGATACCCTTAAAAGATCGTACGTTGGACGCTGAAAAAATGGCTAGGACAGGTAAATAATGTTTCAACAAAATATATTATCTATAAATCACAATTTTGATTATATATAAAAAATCTTGCAAAATGCAATTAATATTTGTTTAAATCATTATATATGTATCATTATATCATTGTTTACTTCCCATATACCGGGTGATTCATTTTAATCTTAATAGTTAAATATTTTGAAAAATATGAGAGCTACGAAAAATGTTTCAGACAAAAGTTGTATAGTTTCAAGGGAATTACTACAAAGGGTTTCAAGATAATTACTTGATCTTGGATAGTCGTTTGAAGGTTACGCGGAAGTTTACCTTTAATTTCTCAAATGGAACTCCTTATTTTTCATTATATATTTTTGTGGCTTATCTTGAGAGTTTTCCAAAACACTATAATTAAATATTTTTCCGTTAAATACTTTTCGAGGCTTGGAATAATTTTTCAATTTTACATAAACCGTAAAATATTGAATAAAATATTTATTTTTCGATTATCTTGCCTCAATATTTTTATACGCAAAATAATGTGAGAAATCAATTGGTGTAAAAAAAACACATAGTTGTTTTTAAGAAAAAATATGTAATTGTTAATTGCAAATTAATAATAAATTAATATAAAAACGATATATTGGATATAAACGATGTTTCGATAAATATTATTTTAATTTTTTATCAATATTTTATCAATTTTTTATCAATATTTTCAGAAGATGGCTATATCGTGGAATATTCGTTGGAATATGGTTTTTTGCGATTATCACCGGCAGCTCGACAAAGACTAAACATTCCAGTCAAAATTGTCACTTTGGATCCATTGAATGACAAATGTTTTGGTGATGCATTTTCAAGATTGATATTAGATGAATTTTTGGGTTATGATGATTTATTGATGGCAAGCATCAAGACATTGGCAGAACATGAAGACAACAAGGGCTTCTTGCGGTGAGTAACATATATAATTTGTTGATAAAATTGTATTTATTGATAAAACCATGTATATTTAAACGTTGAATTATATTTGTCGATACATGTATTAAAATAAAAAGTAATTTATTTAATTTCTAATTGTACAGGAATGTCGTCACAGGAGAACATTATCGATTTGTGAGCATGTGGATGGCGCGAACATCATACTTGGCCGCATTTTTCGTCATGCTCGTATTTGTAAGTATGAATTTTATTTCAATTATCCGATTGCTTATATTATTATATAAGATTCATTTAAATATATATTATCATTCATTTAAATATATATATTATATTAAATATATATTATATTTAAATATATATTATAAGGCAGTATTATACATTTAATACTGCCTTATGCAAGAGTTCAGCAATTTCCTGTATCTGGCACATATATTAGTTTTGACGAAAAATATATAAAAAATTATTTTTATGTGAAAGAAAATGCAAAAAATTTAATCTCTGTATTCATAATTCATAGATGTTTGGATTTTGGGATGTATATTGTTATTGCATGTGTGTGTATAATCAATTCTTTTTAGGTCGATTTATTATTTATTTATTTTATTATTTATCAATTTTTATTTATCTCATTTATCTTTTATTTATTATTTATCATGCTGAATTTTTTGTCTCTGGTTGGTATTGAAAACTAATATAGAATTGGACGAACTTGATGCGCGCCAATATATCCAACCGGATTTATTATAAAATAACAAATATTTTAGAAGAAAATTGCTGATTAAAGTATATAACGTATATTATCGAAAGTATCGAAATATCACGATAAAATCTCTCCATGCGTCATCAAATTTCAAATTAGTCTGCATGCATATAGTACATACATACATCCTTTTTCGGTGATAATAAATTCTTCTCCATCAGAGAGAGGAACGATTTCACGCTCGCCTATACGATAGCCTAACGTACGTGTAAAACGATATGGCAATCAATCCAAGCTAACCATCCGCTAAAGTAACCCGCCTGTGCGCGTAGCTTTCCTATCCCCCGTGTCCTATCCTCCGCGCGCGATCCCTTTGCAGCTGAAACCGTTGGGTATAAATCAAGGTTATTAGAGGCATCATATTCGTCGCGTAGTGGCCCCGTGTCGGTAATTTTGTATCAAATTGTGATTGCACCGTACTGCGCTCGAGATCACCGGTGGAACTCGTAATTGACGCGATGCTTTCAACAGTATATTTTATACGTGTATGTATGTATGTACTGAAAAACACCCACACATGATATTAAAATTATCATCTCTTTTTTCGTGCAATTATTCTAGAAATATCACAAGGAATGAAAATTATGAGAATTACATCCACGGAGATATTTTCGAAATTTGTTTAATTGCATCAGGGAATTGACTGCTTCTGCTTCTGGAGGGTGAGAGGAAAGAAAGAGAGAGAGAGAGAGAGAGAGAGAGCCAACTGCGAAAACTCGTCGTGGATGGATTCGCGTATTCGTCGCCACGACACGACACGACACGACACGACACGACGCCTCGTGACTCGAATTGCCGCTCATCGGCGAGATATTTTGTTCTTTAGACTCTCTGGGCAATGCGGTTCGCTTTGCAACGCGGCGCCAATATATCGGGTAAAGGATTGAGGGCGGCAGGGGGTGCGTTGCGAGTCTCGCTCGTGTCGCGACACGTGAATTCGAGCCCCCGGTTGCCTGGAGGGTTCGCTCCGAGCCACCCTCCGACCCCGCTGATGGCCCGTCGTCGGTCGAGTCACGTGCACGCGACTGTCGTCGTGCACGTATCACTCGTGTGTATCTCCTCTGTCATGTGCACGCGACGTCCGGCGCTCCGTTACAATGCGATACAGTATGATGAAATACTATTCCCTCTTCCTTTATCTTTCTCCTTGTTTGCCTCTGTGTTTGCGCGTTTGTCGCTCGCATCCGCTTCACCCTCTGGGGCTTGCATCTCTTATATCGAATTCGACTGACCGTATGGCGTAGGTATAGTTGAGTTTGCCATAAGAGATGTCTATTAGTCGTGACGTGACGAAAAGTTGCGATAAATTTTCAAAGAGATGTCCATTATTAATCGAACACGATAACAAAAATGTGTCGAAATTAAAGATTTTTATTTCAATTTATAAACAATTATATTACTCTATTACTCTTTTCGGTCACTGTCGTTATTTTCAATACGATTTTTTGCTCGAGCGAACAAGAAATTGTCAAGTTTGACTGCGTCAATGCCAATGTGCTGCCGTAGGGAGAAGTCGATAGCGAATAATTTTTATCGACTCTTTAGCTATCTCTCTCGCTCTTCCTCTCTTTGTTCCTTCTTTTTAATAACATCTGCGCATTCGTACAAGGTAGGACCGAACCCGACCCCGTTACTAAGGCTGCCTGTTGCAAATAACGGATTATCTTCTGAGGGTGTCAGGTGCTGGTTCAATCTGAACCGATCGCAATTCAATTTCAACATTCGCTCAACCCGCTAACCGACTACGAGCGACCAGTTCGCAATTTACGTGACGCCGTAACTTTGTCAAAGTTACTCGCGCAAAATATCAGACGATCCGTAATTCATAATTCGCGGATCGATATTTTTAATCAACGTCAATCGCGTTTGCGCTAATTGCGACCTGTACATCGTGATTTTAGTTGAAAATTATGATTGTATATTCGAGAACATTTAATAATAGACCTTTTCTCTCTCTCTCTGCCATGTTTCAGACGGTGTCGATCTCGATGTTACTTCGCTACTCGCATCACCAGATCTTCGTCTTTATTGGTGAGTGATAAAACACAAATTTTAATTTATCTTTGTCAAAGAGAGAAGGGAGAAAGATAAGAAAAAGGGGAAGAGCAAAAAGAATGCATGCGTCAGTAAGACGTGCGTATCAGCAAAATAAATTAATAATCAATCACAAATTACAAGCAAAATACATTATCGATATTTTTTATCGATATTTTTTTATCTACGATTAAAATACTTATCTGCGATTGCTATACAAGATTAATATCAGAGTTTTGCTGACCCTTGTACATTCGCCTTATTAGAATACTTCATTTTTTAATCTACCTTTTTCAGCGAATTATACCATGTTTTTTTTTGTAATTTAGCTACTTAAAATTTGAACAATTTTATGTAACGGTATTATATAAACATATTAATTTAATGAGACATTATAAAAATTTGCTTTTTTCTCGTTATTATTTTTTATCTAAAAATATCAACGATAAATATTTAACGTCAATAAGTCTGTAGATAACAACAGTTGAATGTGCTTTTGCGTGAAATGCAGAGAGGATTTGATAGGTTTTTATTATACTTTTTGTTTCTTTTTTCTGAAAATAATCAGGATTTAAAGTGAAACACTTTTTATTGTTATATTTTTATTGTTATATTTTTACAATTATAATTTGTCTTTTCTCGTATAGATTCACTATATAAACGTATAGATTCATTATATAAATATACTCGGCGTCACAAAAGTAGCTGTCTTCAAATTCTAAAGGCATTTGCGACGTTCAATATAATACAAATTGAATCAAATGACCATTGAATCATTTAAGAGATATTTTCATTGTGTATTTCATTTGTGGCAAATTGTCACCTAACAAAATTTGTCTTTATTAAAAATCTTAATTGTCAGCAAGAAGGCTCCAGGATGATATATTTAAATTGATTATTGCGTGCGTTTGACTGACGTATCTTGCGCGATTATTGCTGCAACAACGTGTAATGATACCAAGAGAGGCGTTTTCTCTCCTCCCCTCTTGGTTCTCCCATGATAAGATCCGCGCATATACACGTATTTATACGTTCTACGTTTCATCCGACGGAGCCATTCGTTTGTTCGTTATCCTCACGTCGCGATGGAATTATTTTCGTTCTTTACGTCACCCTTTGGGCTGTTACTAACTACTTTGATCACTATCGGTATCTTGAAATGGATCAAATTGATATATAGTGCATACTTTTATTGGAGGGGTAAAGGTATTCCTTTTCTGCCCAATTCACTACGGTCTTTTATAGTGGGTTGGAAAATATTTCTGCGCCGATTGAGTTTTGTCGACTATACTATTTTTCTATACAATTATTTCCCGGATGCCAAGTATTTTGGATCGATGGAGTTTAACACACCTGTTGTGTTTCTACGCGATCCTGAACTGATCAAGGATGTGATGGTGAAGGACTTTGATAATTTCCATGATCATCGCGGTTTCGTGGACGAAAATCTGGATCCGCTATTCAGTAAAAACATCTTTGCGTTGCGCGGAGATCGCTGGAAGGAAATGAGAAATACGCTAAGTCCGTCTTTCACCGCCAGTAAGATGAAGCTCATGTACGAGTTGGTATCAAAGTGTTCTCGTGAATTTGTCAATTACTTGATCGATCACCCGGAACTCTATGATAATGCTATCGAGACGAAGCAGGTCTTTCGAAGGTATACCACTGATGTAATCGCCACAACGGCTTTTGGGATAAGTGTGAATTCTATGGAAGATCAAAACAACGAGTTTTACGTAAGAGGAATAGAGAGCAGCAAAGCTTTCAGAGGATCTCTAGTTATGTTTAAGTTTCTATTTATGCAAGCATTTCCACGTGTTGCCAAATTGCTCGGTATGAGAGGGTTCGCCTCATCGAGTATGGGCGAATTTTTCAAGAGGATTGTTAGAGAGACCATCAAAGTTCGAGAGGAGCAAGGTATCATCAGGCCGGATATGATTCATTTATTAATGCAGGCTCGGGATAAGGAAGGTCCTAGCGTCCACAAAATGACGTTGGACGACATCGTTTCGCAAGCTTTCATCTTTTTCTTAGCCGGTTTTGAAACATCCTCGACGCTGATGTGTTTTGTCGTTCATGAACTGGCAATTAATCAAGACATTCAAGATCGCTTGCGCGAGGAGGTGCAGCATCTCGCCGAAGGAAACGAGATCTCTTACGAATCACTGTCAAAAATGACTTACATGGATATGGTGATTTCCGAGGCGCTCCGAAAGTATCCACCATCGATTCTCACCGATAGACTTTGCACTAAGGGTTATGAATTGCCTCCGTCGCAGCCGGGTGGCAAAAGCGTGACTCTCGAACCTGATAACATAATGACGATATTCATTTATGCTTTACATCGTGATCCCAAGTATTTTCCGAATCCGGATAAGTTTGATCCTGAAAGATTCAGCGAAGAAAACAAAGATAAGATTATCCCGTACACTTATTTACCCTTTGGACATGGACCTAGAAAATGTATCGGCAATCGATTTGCTCTCATGGAGACCAAGATTCTGATAGCTCATCTCTTACAAAAATTCACCCTGAAGAGAACGGAAAAAACTGTCGAGCCTATAGTATACGATAAGAAGGAATTCAATCTAGTACCTGAAGATGGATTCTGGATTGCCTTGGAAAAGAGAGAAACGTGATGAACTTGTGTACGAAATACTAAATAATAATTATTTTCTAATCATTGGAAAGGAGCGTTGATGCATTTACAAATTTATAGATATTTAATCGTGTATAATTTTTTAGTTTGTGAAGATGGGTGTAGTCTAGGATCTACAACACATTATTGCGTTTATTTGAATATTAAATTAATTTAATATTATATATTTTATTGCACTATCTCTATTACATTATTAAACTTTACCGGTAGAAAGTGACGAGATGGAGTATTATGATGAACACTGTGACCTGCGTGGGCTCTTAATTCTACTTATTCATATTGATGGTCTTTAACGACTTATGTAACTCGTATTTGTGTCGACAAGGAGTACGGTAGAAACGTAGTAGAGATGGTCATTGTTCATTCTTTATATAAGAAAGAGTCTTTTATCATCGCGTACACTGAAAAAAAAGTAATGTTGAACTAACAACATTAGTGTAATTGAAATTTATTTTATTAATTAATAACATTACTAATCAAATCAATACATGGTGTATTGATTTGATTAAAAATGTTATTGAATTAATAAAATAAATCTCAATTACGCTGATGTTGTTAGTTCAACATTATCTTTTTCTTAGTGTAGATATATCTCATCAGTTTCGAGATACATTTTCTTTTGTTTCTCTTTTCTTATATTAGCTCGGATCATATATTTAGTAATTTGTAAAATTAAACTTTCTACTTGACATTTTTTGAAATTGATATAATTTAAATATATCAGATTTAATATATAATATTTCATATATATATATATATATATATATATATATATATATATGAAATAATTTTAATATATAATATTTAATATACAATTTTATAATGGTATTAAATTTATATTAGATTTATATAAAATAATTTTTGTAATGTTTCTTTAGAAACATTATAAAAATATGTAATGTTTTTTAAATGATATTCTTTTATAATTTCTAAAAAGCAACAATAGCAAAATTATTCTTTTGAAAAAATTTTATAAAAAAGAATAATCTACGATAAACAAAGCACTTGATATTTTTTAAAATAAAGATATGAGATATAAGAGATTGATATTAATCACTAGTTGCTTCATCATGTGAAATTAAATAGTATAAGTATATAAAAAAAGGAAAAGTAAAAAAATTCTTCACTACAACCTAATTGAAAACATCTAGCAAAAAATTCAAAAACATCTAATAATAGATGCAGAATCTTAAGTATATACGGACATTCAATTAAGATTTTACTATTAATTGCGATAAATACCTCAGAAATCATATCAACTAATGATAACACAACAATAATAATAAAATATTTATAAGAGTGATTTCCAAGAGATTATGAAAACATTGTCATTTTATTGCATTGTTAATGTGCAAAAATGATAAGATAATCAAAATAAGATAATAAATCAATAATGTAAACATATATGTCGCAATAATATTCAAATTTACAAAATCAAGCATAATATTCAAATTTACAAAATCAAGCATACAAATGTAATTTACTTTTTATGTATATATATTTTATATGTATATTTTTATTTTCTACTTTCCATTTTTTATTATTTTTATTAATTACTCTTAAAATAAACATGTAACGGTATTATACAAACATATTAATTTAATGAGACATTATAAAAATTTGCTCTCTTCTCGTTACAAGTTTTTTTCTAAAAATATCAAAGATAAATATTTAACGTCACTAAGTCTATAGATAACAACAGTTGAATGTGTTTTTGCGTGAAATGCAGAGAGGATTTGATAGGTTTTTATTATTCTTTTTGTTTCTTTTTTTCTGGAAATAATCAGGATTTAAAGTGAAACACTTTTTATTGTATATTTTTGCAAATATAATTTGTTTTTTCTCGTATAGATTCATTATATAAACGTATAGATTCATTATATAAATATACTCGGCGTCACAAAAGTAGCTGTCTTCAAATTCTAAAGGCATTTGCGATGTTGAATATAATACAAATTGAATCAAATGACCATTGAATCATTTAGGAGATATTTTATTGTGTATTTCATTTGTGGGAAAATATCACAAATTGTCACCTAAACAAAATTTGTCTTTACTAAAAATCTTAATTGTCAGCAAGAATTCACGATGATATATTTAAATTGATTATTGCGTGCGTTTGACTGACGTAACTTACGCGATTATTGCTGCAACAACTTGTAATGATACTAAAAGAGGCGTTTTCTCTCCTCCCCTCTTGGTTCTCCCACGATAATATCCGCGCATATACACGTCTGTATTTATACGTTCTACGTCTCATCCAACAGAGCCATTCGTTTGTTCGTTATCCTCACGTCGCGATGGAATTATTTTCGTTCTTTACGTCGCCCTTTGGGATGTTACTGACTACTTTAATCACTATCGGTATCTTGAAATGGATCACAGTGGTGTATCGTGCATACTTTTATTGGTGGGGTAAAGGTATTCCTTTTCTGCCCAATTCACTACGATCTGTTATAGTGGGTTGGAAAATATTTTTGCGCCAATTGAGTTTTGCCGACTATACTATTTTTCTGTACAATTACTTCCCGGACGTCAAGTATTTTGGATCGACGGAGTTTAACGTACCTGTTGTGTTTCTACGCGATCCTGAACTGATCAAGGATGTGATGGTGAAGGACTTTGATAATTTCCATGATCATCGCGGTTTCGTGGACGAAAATCTGGATCCGCTATTCAGTAAAAACATCTTTGCCTTGCGCGGAGATCGCTGGAAGGAAATGAGAAATACGCTAAGTCCGTCTTTCACCGCCAGTAAGATGAAGCTCATGTACGAGTTGGTATCAAAGTGTTCTCGTGAATTTGTCAATTACTTGGTCGATCATCCGGAACTTTATGATAATGCTATCGAGACGAAGCAGGTCTTTCGACGGTATACCACTGATGTAATCGCCACAACGGCTTTTGGGATAAGTGTGAATTCTATGAAAGATCAAAACAATGAGTTTTACGTAAGAGGAATAGAGACCACCAAAGTTTTCAGAGGATCTCTAGCCATGTTTAAGTTTCTATTTATGCGTTCATTTCCACGTGTTGCCAAGTTGCTCGGTATGACAGGGTTTGCCTCATCGAGTATGAGCGAATTTTTCAAGAGGATTGTTGGAGAGACCATCAAAGTTCGCGAGGAGCAAGGTATCATCAGACCGGATATGATTCATTTATTAATGCAGGCTCGGGATAAGGAAGGTCCTAGCGTCCACAAAATGACGTTGGACGACATCGTTTCGCAAGCTTTCATCTTTTTTTTAGCCGGTTTTGAAACATCCTCGACGCTGATGTGTTTTATCGTTCATGAACTGGCAATTAATCAAGACATTCAAGATCGCCTGCGCGAGGAGGTGCAGCATCTTGCCGAAGGAAACGAGATCTCTTACGAATCACTGTCGAAAATGACTTACATGGATATGGTGATTTCCGAGGCGCTCCGAAAGTATCCACCATCGATTCTCACCGATAGACTTTGCACTAAAGGTTATGAATTACCTCCGTCGCAGCCGGGTGGCAAGAGCGTGATTGTCGAACCTGATAACACAATGACGATATTTATTTATGCTTTACATCGTGATCCCAAGTATTTTCCGAATCCGGATAAGTTTGATCCCGAAAGATTCAGCGAAGAAAACAAAGATAAGATTGTCCCGTACACTTACTTACCCTTTGGACATGGACCTAGAAAATGTATCGGCAATCGATTTGCTCTCATGGAGACCAAGATTCTAATAGCTCATCTCTTACAAAAATTCACCCTGAAGAGAACGGAAAAAACTGTCGAGCCTATAGTATACGATAAAAGGGAATTCAATCTAGCACCTGAAGGTGGATTCTGGATTGCCTTGGAGAAAAGAGAAACGTAATGAACTTTTGTACGAAATACTAAATAATAATTATTTTCTAATAATTGGAAAGGAGCGTTGATGCATTTACAAATTTAGAGACATTTAATCGTGTATAATTTTTCAGTTTTTGAAGATGGGTGAAGTCTAGGATCTACAACACATTATTGCGTTTATTTGAATATTCAATAAATTTAATATTATATATTTTATTGCACTATCTCAATTACATTATTAAACTTTACCGGTAGAAAGTGACGAGATAGAGTATTATGATGAACATTGTGATATGCGTAGGCTCTTAATTCTACTTATTCATATTGATGATCTTTAACAACTTATGTAACTCGTTTTTGTGTCGACAAGGAGTATAGTAGAAACGTAGTATAGATGGACATTGTTCATTCTTTATATAAGAAGGAATCTTTTATCATCGCGTACACAGAAAAAAAGTAATGTTGAATTAACAACATCAGTGTAATTGAAATTTATTTTATTAATTTAATAACATTACTAATCAAATCAATACATGGTGTATTGATTTGGTTAGAAATGTTATAGAATTAATAAAATAAATTCCAATTACATTGATGTTGTTAGTTCAACATTATCTTTTTCTTAGTGTAGATATATTTCATCAGTTTCGAGATACATTTTCTTTTGTTTCTCTTTTCTTATATTAGCTCGGATCATATATTTAGTAATTTGTAAAATTAAACTTTCTACTTGACATTTTTTGAAATTGATATAATTTAAATATATGAAATTTAATATATAACATTTCATATATATATATATATATATATATATATATATGTATATATATATATATATGAAATAATTTTAATATATAGCATTTAATATACAATTTTATAATGATATTAATTTTATATTAGATTTGTATAAAATAATTTTTGTAATGTTCCTTTAGAAACATTATAAAAATATGTAATGTTTTTTAAATGATATTCTTTTATAATTTCTAAAAAGCAACAATCGCAAAATTATTCTTTGGAAAAAATTTTGTAAAAAAGAATAATCTAGGATAAACAAGGCACTTGATATTTTCTTAAATAAAGATATAAGAGATATAAGAGATTGCTATTAATCACTAGTTGATTCATCATGTGAAATTAAATAGTAGAAGTATATAAAAACAGAAAAAATAAAAAAATTCTTCACTACAACCTAATTGAAAACATCTAGCAAAAAATTCAAAAACATCTAATAAAACATCTAGTAATAGATGCAGAATCTTAAGTATATACCGACATTCAATTAAGAGTTTACTGTTATTTGCGATAAATACCTCCGAAATCATTTCAACTACTGATAACACAACAATTATAATAAAATATTTATAAGAGATATTTCCAACAGATTATGAAAACATTGTCATTTTATTGCATTGTTAATGCGCAAAAATGATAAGATAATCAAAATAAGATAATAAGTCAATAATGTAAACATATATGTTGCAATAATATTCAAATTTACAAAATCAAGCATACAGGTGTAATTTACTTTTTATGTATATATATTTTATATGTATATTTTATTTTTTCCTTTCCATTTTTTATTATTTTTGTTAATTACTCTTAAAATAAACATATAAACATAATTACGTATAAATACATGTACATTAATGTACTTTGGTTTTTCCTTACTATCAATTTTCTTTATTCGTTAAGAAAGTTCTTTTATTAAAATTACGCAAATTTTAAACGTTTTAACTTGATTTTATGTTTATTATTATTTATATTTATTATATTTATTAACTTAGAGGAAGCTTAAAAAAATAGTTAATATTTAGAGTCAATCTGATGTAATCTAAATAACACACTAGAAAAAATATTTAACATTCAATTTTCCTTAATTTTCATAATTGATGACGTTTTTCCAATACTTTTGATTGTACGTTATCAGAAATTTATCATTTTATCTTTTTTTTTAAACTCACTTTAGATCATCTATATTCGCGACAAAAGCAGAATTCTATTTATAACTTTACTCATATGTCATATATATAACATAGAAAACATTTGAAGAAGTAATATATATGGATAATTTATCATTATTTGAATATCTAAAATGTACATGTGTAAAATATAATGATATATTAGAATATGAGACACATAAAATTATAATAACTGTTTATTTTGAATTTTTGATCACGAATTATAGATCGTATAAAGCAAGCTTTAATTAATGTAATTCACACATGGATATAAGCAATAAATTAATTAGAATCGATAATCGATATTTTCTGCAATGGGAAAATTTTTTAAGCAATTGTATCTTCAATCATTTCTAACATAGTACTTAATCATAGATGAATCGGAGAGCTTTGATTTTTATTTAATCGGATTTCGCTGCTGTTTTTGATAAGTTTGATAAAATGGCACGTGTTTGGTGATTTTTTTCACGGTCTGTACAGGAGTTGGCTTAAAAAAGAAAAAGAGGAAAGGGAAACTTGAAAGTTTAAACAGCGGCGACGAGGGAGGTTATTTTCGCAGGTTAATCGTTTGAAATACAAATTTGCATAGAAAAACAGCGCAAGGGGCGGCATATTTCCTTCATCCATCTGGGAGTTTTGGATGTTGGCCAACATTTATTCTACATATTTTGTTCATATTTATGATATTTTTGCTAGTCTGTTTTTGTTAAAAGTGGCTCTTAAGTTTTTTCTTTCTCATTATTAATATTTCCTCGAGAATGTAAATTTGAAAATTTTTTATAAAACTCAATAATATATATATTATATATTGTTCTGTAAATAAGACATCAAGTCATTTTAATGATATGAATAAGATGCTTAACATTGAAAAGTTTATTTTTGTAATAAACTATTCGCAACAATTTTCACTCGAAAATGATCAATACATTTTTAAAAAATTTGAATTATTTTTTAATACCCATACATATATTTTGTGCGTATATCAAATTATCTCTTAGAATATTATACATACGTAATCAGATTAGGAGTGGATAAAAATTGCATTATTACTTCTTATTTTTTAATTCTAAACGACATAAAATTGAAATTGTTGATTTACATTTGAATGGTCTTTTATAAGAAAATTGCATCAGATTATCAAATGTAGAGCCTGGTTGAACCGGAAAATGAGGTGTTTGTTCCTTGCGAAAATTAAAAATGCATAATTCCTTATAAACTTTATATTAAACTTCTTCGTTATTAAACAAATTTCGTTGCTATCGTCAAATCGATATTGATTAGACATGTGCTTTACAACTGCGTATATCTATATACATATTCGTATATCTATATACATATTCGATTTAATTAGAAGCGCAAAAAGCAGGTAGAGCGGTGCGAACATAAGAAAAGAGAATAAACGTAAGATACACGTGTGGCCCTGGTCGGAGAAAGTATTATGCGGGACAGGACGAAGGATCGCGGCAAGTTTTTAATAACCGGAGGGTGGCGAGAGTTAGTGGACGATAAGTTAAAATCTAAAATTCATTAAATTGAACCGCGCGCAAGGTGTGTCGCGCAAATTTGTAAGGTACTATACCGGGTGGCCTATAAAGAAGGCGCGGTTCGCGATAAGTCGCGTGACCCCGTCCGCGACAAGTGACGGTATTAACTTTTTAATTGCTTTGTTGCACCCGCGGCGGTACGATTATGAATTTTTTATCTATCCTCGATCCTTCCGCTTCTACCCAGCACGACTCTTGCGAAGCGACCGATATTGCGGATTATCCGAAAGTGTCGTAAACACAAAGTTGTTACTTGCTCTTAAATCAATTCCGGATCTCTGCGTTCGTACAATAGCTGTGTACGTGTGTGTGTGGGAGGCCGGGGGGGGGAAGGGAGAAGGAAATGCTTCCTCGATGGGTTAAATTGCACAAGATTTAGTACGTATTGTATATATTCCTTTGGTATATTTATCCGAGAGATGTGAGAGATAAATCAATACAAGGTATACGACTTAAAGCGTCGATAGAAAGTTCCGTGGAATTTAAATCAGGATTGACGAAGTTTCGAAATTAATTCGTATCAAGCTTTGAGTCGACTCGTCGAACGCGACGCGATTCCTTCACGGGGTGTTGCTGAACTTATGTAATAACCTTCCGCTCGCGAAGTCCTCACCGCGCGATGTGCCTGATAAATATTAAATTCAAGCCGTTTCTCGACCGGAATAACGATTTCCACGTAACATTCTATCCTCGCGATAAATTTACGCGCGATGACGTGTATATGTATATGATTATCGGAAGAAAGAACAATTTTTACATTTAATATAATTTTTATATTATTTCCTTGTATTTGTTTATATTGCATCATATTCACGTTTCTTCTCTCTTTCTGTTTCAGTTGATCTCATACAGATGTTGGAATTTAATTTAACTGTATCGCTGCCAGCAGCCTCCTTATTGACAGTAATTTTGGCACTAGTGGGTAAGTTGCATATATCTTTCTATTTGGAAAGTTTATTTAAACGTTATATTTTATTTATTCTGGCAAGAGAAGAATTTTCATTCGCTTCAAAGAAAAATTAAAATTTTATACAAAAGCTTAAATGCATATTATGCATATTATAGCGCTTTTTCAAACAAGAATATATCGTCCATGATTTTTTTTCCACAATACAAAATTCAAATATATATAATTCTAAAATTTCTCGTATAAATAACATTTGCATATCTATTGTGCTTTACATTCAAGTGTAAATATTTGGTGGCTTTTGGCGCGCGTTATTTTTTTTCTACGTCGCAATTTTTCGGAGACGACAAAATCCATGAAAAGCGATCCTTTTTTCAGTTAGAATAAACAATCGACGAATTTTTTCCAACGCGGGAGCGCGTTGAAGTTTGGTCTCGCGACGTACGTTCGAACGGAGTAAAATATTAAATACCTTTTTACTAAATCAGTGCCCAACGCGTGCCCTCGCTCTCTCTCTTTCTCTCTCTCTCTCTCTCTCTCTCTCTCTCTCTCTCTCTCTCTTCGGTAGGACGTTAGCTCCGTTACAAAGCTGATTGGCCGGGACGGTTAACCCAGGATTCTGCATAAATTTCTGATGAAGGCGCAACAGTTGGGTAACCCGCTTCGGAGCCCATTTAGCGGCGGCAGCGGCGTCGCCCATTTCCATTTCGCCTCGAATATCTCCTCTTCGCGTGTCCACCGACACCAACCAAGGTCCAATTGACCTGCATAAAATACGACGTACGCTAATCGGCTCTCCCTCTCGAAACATTGATAAAATTTGATTTATAATCTTCGTTTCGCTCTTCTCCATTTCGCTCTTCGCTTTTGTACGGGTACACAAATTACTTCCCTCGACGAGCGTATCTCCCACAGTTAGCGAGTTTTAACGGTCAATTCGTTCCTGTATAACCCGCGAATGCTCTCACGTTTCGAATTTCTCCACGCAATTGTAAAACGCTAGAATGTGGCTTTTATGATTTTAAGCTAGAGCTTCGTCCCGGCTTATTTCCCGATGTATTGAAAAACGCTTATATTTAAGCGCGGATACTCGCAATTCGTGCTAGAAATCTCTCAACACACTGTATATATTTCCACAGCGTAATATATTCATCTTATTTATCAAACATGTAGCAGCGTCAGTTATTAGTTTTGGATGAATAGAGATCGAGATCGCTACTATATTTATCAGATTTCGATAAAAATTGCCAATTTATATGTAGTCCGATATGGGGAATCCATTCATTTATATACCACCAGTTGCGCGGTCAACAGGCAGCCGAGCGAAATGGCAACAGAAGTGGTAAATTTCCGGATCCGCACCCCCTCCTCCTTTCCTCCCTTTTGCAGGGATCGCCGAGGATCGTATGTACAAAAATCGAAATATATATATATATATATATATATATATATATATATATACATACAGGGTGTCCCAAAAGTCCCGGACCGGTCGAATATTTTATAAACTATGTACTTTAGAAAGAAATGTTTCAGACAAAAGTTGTATGGCTTGAAGGGGCCCATCAGATAGTGGCAATGATTTGACATGGGAGAGTCATTTGAAAGTCACGTGAAGATCACCGTCAATTTCTTTAATGGAACTCCCTATTTTTTATTAAATATTCTGGTAGCTCACGTTGAGAGCTTTCCAAAACACTATAACTAAGTAAGTTAGTTTTCATTAAGTACTTTCCGAATTATGAGGCTTGAAATCATTTCTTAATTTTACATAAACCGTAAAATATCTTGTAAAATATTCATTTTTCGATTATCTTACCTTAATACTTTTATGTACAAAATAATGAGAGGAATCAATTGGTGTAAAGAAAACACATAGTTGTTTTAAAAAAATATATGTAATTGTTAATTGCAAATTACATATTTTTTTCTTAAAAATAAGGTCCATACTAAGGGCGTGTTTCTGATGCCATTTAGAGTAAAAAAAGTCTAATAAACATATATCCGCAAATGCTTCCTAACAGAAATACAAGCATTGAAAGTTAAATATTTAAAAAAAGAAAGACATTTGGAAAAGAAAAGAAAGACATTTAATTTAATTCGTTCATTTACAAATTCTGTTCAAAATGACATCCTGCAGATTCATTACAAAGTCTTGCCCTGCGTAAAAGTGATCTAACAGCTTGTTCCACCATTCCAGGAGAATTTCTGATTTGTGTTGCCGCATCCATAATTCTGTAAATAAGTTCATCCGTATTGTGAGATTGAAAATGTAAACAATACCAGGCTGATAAAAATGTGAACAATAACAGACTAATAGAAAATGTTTCACATATTCATATCAGCTTTCAATGCTTGTATTTCTGTTAGGAAGCATATGTTTATTAGACTTTTTTTTACTCTAAATGACATCAGCAACACGCTCTTAAAGTATGGACCTTCAGTCATGGGACACCCTGTATATATGTATATGTATATATATGTATACATATATATATATATATATATACATACATATATACAGGGTGTGTGTGTGTGTGTGTGTGTGTGTATATATATATGTGTGTGTGTGTGTGTGTGTGTGTGTGTGTGTGTGTGTGTGTGTGTGTGTGTGTGTGTGTGTGTGTGTGTGTGTGTGTGTGTGTGTGTGTGTGTGTGTGTGTGTGTGTGTGTGTGTGTGTGTGTGTGTGTGTGTGTGTGTGTGTGTGTGTGTGTGTGTGTGTGTGTGTGTGTGTGTGTGTGTGTGTGTGTGTGTGTGTGTGTGTGTGTGTGTGTGTGTGTGTTGTGTGTGTGTGTGTGTGTGTGTGTGTGTGTTGTGTGTGTGTGTGTGTGTGTGTGTGTGTGTGTGTGTGTGTGTGTGTGTGTGTGTGTGTGTGTGTGTGTGTGTGTGTGTGTGTGTGTGTGTGTTGTGTGGTGTGTGTGTGTGTGTGTGTGTGTGTGTGTTGTGTGTGTGTGTGTGTGTGTGTGTGTGTGTGTGTGTGTGTGTGTGTGTGTGTGTGTGTGTGTGTGTGTGTGTGTGTGTGTGTGTGTGTGTGTGTGTGTGTGTGTGTGTGTGTGTGTGTGTGTGTGTGTGTGTGTGTGTGTGTGTGTGTGTGTGTGTGTGTGTGTGTGTGTGTGTGTGTGTGTGTGTGTGTGTGTGTGTGTGTGTGTGTGTCGAGTCAAGGAAGCTCGCAGTTGGAGGAAGGGGAGAGGGAAAGGGAGCCTTGGGGAAGTTGTTATCTGGAGTAATAGGTTCCGGTTCCTGTATCGCTTCCTGCTCTCCATCCGTCATCTCGCGGTTCTTTCAGCCTCCCAAACCTTTCACTCCTTCGCCGCATGTTGCCTTTGCAAAGGGGAAGCGAGGAGAGAGGAGTCAAAGAGGATATATCGTTACTTGTTTCCTTTTCCTTATTCCACCATTTCTGTATCTTTTTCTTTGCTTTCGTCGATGCGATAATAAGCGTAGGAAGCGTAAGATGAGATCGCAAATTTTTTGAAAATGCCTTAAAATATTTTAAAGCTTTTTTTTTTCTTAGAAAAACAAAAATTTTTTTGACACTCTTGCTCTTGAAAGTATTCCTCATACGTATTATCGACACTTTATTTGACTTGTCCAGAAATTTAGTGGGAGAATTTCAGTTTTCTTCGACTGGGAGAATTTCAGTTTCTGTCGACTGTTTTAAATTGAATATTAAAACGAGATTTAATATCTCAGGAGAACATTCATTTCACATTTCCCAAATTTATAAATAAATGGACATTGGAAATCAACGTTTACGTTAGTATTGAGATTCCATATTCCTCGTCTTGCGTTTTCTCGGCGCTATCTGCCGTTCGATTTGGTGTATTCTTTTTCAATATTCGGTCCCCGTGTTCGTCGTCGATGGGCAGTATTTTGTCTGGCGGTTGCCCGCGGCATCATCAGCGTGAATTCACGTCAAATCGTCCACACGTCGTTCGGCATTTGGCATTAGGTGGAAGACGCGAAAGACGATTTTGCATAATGGAACGTCAAAGAATGAAGGCACCGGCGCCTCTGTACATCAGTGACGCATGATCGACCGCCTAACACGCTGTAAACACATTTTCAGAGACGGTCAGAACACGTTGCACCCGTTGCCATTCCGTTTATCTGCTTACAACGTCGACGGAGCCCTGCCCGTATACATATTAGCATATTTTATACAGGCACGTGAACGCGAGCGTCTCAACGTTTGTGGATTAAAGCGGATGGTCTTTAATCGCTGGACTGGAATCGCGATAAAAACGCGAGAAATTTCAATTGCAAATCTACGGTACATGTAGAATGAGATAATCGTGACGTAATTTCAAAAATGCACAAACTATGTTAGGCGGTTTTCACGCGGTTAGGTACGCATCGTTTCGAATCTTCTAATACGAGGAACGAAACTATGGATGATGATATACTGAGAAAAAAATCTGGTTGCATTAATTAAAATTCTGATAGATTCAATCAGTATGTCTGTTGGAAAATGGAACCAGAATTCTTGTAGGAATTACCAGATGACTGTGATTAATTTCTTCCTGTTAAATTTACCAAATTTTCTTGTTAATAATACTAAATTCCTAAACCAGCACCAAGTCGTCTAAAATTCTTTCCATCTGATTTCAAAAGTCTGTTTAATATTTTGAATTCTAACAAGATTATTGGATAAATTTAATCCAGATTATTGAATAAATTATTTTAAATTCAGTTTGTTAGAAATTAAACTGATAAAACAGCGATGCAAGAAAAGGATGCAGCTCAAACACACACAATCAGAGAGCTAGCGTCCTCTTTCTGGCACTACTGCTCGTAAGAGGAAAAAAATATATCTTGCATTTAATGTTAATACTAGTTCTTTATATACATTTCATGGCAAATATTGAATATGAGTTAAGTTAAGCAAGCAAAAAAATTAATGTAACAAGAAATTTTATAGATCCACAAAATACTAATCAAATTCTTATAAAATCTATTAAACGTTCTAGTTATAAAAAATCGAGTCTTATAATAAAACTAGAAATTCTTGTTT